GTAAATTATTACTCTATTCCCATTGTTACTTGACTTTTCTCAGTTGTTTATATTCAGAAGGCCTCTGAGTAATGCAAAACTATACAAAGTTCTGTGAGGTAAGTCAAGGATATGTGGTTACCTTGATGCTATATTTTTCTGCCTTCCTTGGCCAAAATTAGATCTTTAATGAACCTTTAAACAATAGTTTCTTGTGTGTGGAATGTAAAAAGTCTGTGCCAAAGATACAATTTGAAAGAAACCTTGACTATCCTTCAATTTCTGGCACTTTGCTGCTGTTTTCTTCAGAAAGCCAGACCTTATAAAGGGAAAGAAGCTACTTTTATTAGATGGTGTTATGCAACAGTTGAAGTACATTCAGATTTTTTTTCTTTTGCCACGAGGAGTAACCTCCCAGAAGTCTCTCCTGTTTATAGCTGACTTCCCGATCCCTCCGCCCAAAAAACCCACTGTTCTTGAACAGTCTGCAGAAATGTTTAGTGGTACAACCTGTCTGTGAATGCATGGTGGTGCACTCATGCAGAAAGAGCAAAAAGGGGGGAAACCTCTGTGAGAAACCAAAGAGGATACTGAGTACCAGAGTATCAGAGGCCACACAAAAGACAAGGCTATGTAATGGATTGTGTGTAAACCAAATATTAGTATATACAGTACAAAAAGTACAGTGTGATGAGTGAAATCAGTCCCTATAAACAGTGCAAAATACAGTAAATTATGACCATTCAATTTTTTTAAAAAAATCAGTGCATAATACAGTGAGTTATAACAAAAGGAAAAGTATAGCAGTTCCTGTTAATGTCATTGTCCAGTGTCTTAACTTTTGTATCAAGTATACTAGTCTCAATAGATGCATTTAATTTATCAGGAGTGTCTTTAATCATAGAGTCCAAATGTTCATTTTCTTTATTGATCCTTATTAATCCTTTCAACCAAAAGTAGCATCAAATCCATAGAGCATTTTTTAAGAATGAAAATCCATTTCATCCTGAACTCCTCGTCCAGATGAAACATGCCACATGGTTTCTTAATGCACAACCCTCTAGGAATGTAATCATTGTGACAGTTCAATAAGAGAAGATGCATGAAGGCCATATTTCATACGTTTCTTCTTCAGTTGCTCATAGTCACTCCGAATAACAGAGGAGGACCTTCCATTGTCAGGAGATAAGGAAGCACTTTCCAATAATTTCGCTTTTTCAGCATCAGTATAGGCAAAAAGCTGTTGACATTGTGTATCCCCAAACCAAAAGGAAGGGAGAAAGAGGGGGGGAAAGTGGGGGAGAGACCTCTGTGAGAAACCAAAGAGGATACTAAGTACCAGAGTCAGTTCTGTGCAAATTGATGAACTTTTTTTACACCTGTTGGCTTCAATGGGAAGTGTAAATACAAGCACAAGATTGCAAGCTAGAAAACCAGTGACACATTTATATTTATCTGGGTGTTAGAGGTTGGAGTATTGAGCACAAAGTTCTCCATCTTGACATGGAGGATGCTGTTACAATAACTGATTGAAGTAAGAGGGGGCTGGCTGTAGGCATCTTCATGCCCTTATACTTCCTTCTCCCCATCCCAATTTACCCTGGACGGATCAGGTGTGGAACTCGGCACAGGGACTCTGAATTGGGTGGAAAGGTGGCATAGAATTGTTTTAAATAAAATTAAACAATAACTAACCTTGCTGCCCCCACTCTGGATTTCAGGGTTCTTTAACTTGGGGAATCTGGAACATGCTTCTTCCCACTGATTCCCCTGGCAGCACCTCCTACATTGTGAAGTGAGAGTTGCCTGGATGAGTGAGCAAGTCTGAGATATTAAACACCCCAGCAGAGTTCTTAAACTTATTTTTTTAATTGCATTCAAAACAATAAGGCAAAATCATTGCTTTTACTTTGTATAAAAGAAAAGTAGTTCAAAAGTGATGGAAGGTTTGTAATAAGAGATCAGGGCAAAGGTGTTTGGGGCATGTCCTAAAGTTAGTGCAGTAGGTACTTCTGTGCCAAAGAGGAGTGCAGAACAACTGGTTGGTTTGCACAGGAAGAGCAGCTACTGCTGGGCTGGAACTTAAATCATGTGTGCTCTTATCAAAAAGAAGAGTAATGGGGCTGACTGAGCCAAAAGAGGTAAAAGGGCCAGCAAGGTATGTGTGTGTGTGGGGGGAACCTCAGAATTCTCCAATGCGTATGCTAAACTTTTCCCTAGCACAAACTTACATGCTTCTCCATACTCCACTGAATTTGGCTGTCATGTTTCATCTTCCCCTGCAATAACTGCACATATTCTATTGCCAGCAGCCATGGCTATGGGCAGCTTCAGGAGTTGTACAGTTATATCCTCGGATAGACAGCTGTATAAGTTGTTGTCCTTTCCTTTGTAGATTCAGGTGGGTAATCGTGTTGTTCTAAAGCAGTAGAACAAAGTTTGAGTCCAGTGGCACCTTTAAGTTTTATTCAAGGTATGAGCTTTTGTGTACATGCACACTTCTTCAGATACATTGAAATGGAAGTTACCAGTCCATACATATAGCTAGAAGGTGAGCAGCAAATCAGCATACAACATAATGAAGATGTTTTAACAAATGCAAGGACCAAACAGGAATAACAAGCTAAGTTTTTATGGTCACCATTTGTTTGGATTTAATTTGGGGAAAAAACATGTTAAATCCAAACAAATAGTGACCATATAAACTTCGCTTGAGTCTCTAGTGTCTAGCTTCATGAAGAGAAAAGTGTAGTAAGTGTAGTAAGCTCACTAAAAAAGTAAGAAAAATCATAATGAATCCATGAGACTAATTACAGATGCTTATTTGTTATATACGAAAGACTTATAAGTAAATGAAAACAAACTGGTTTGGAATGGCTGTTGTTCACAACTGTTGAGAGAGGGCCTGGTCAGATGGAAAAAGAAAATCTTTTCTCTCAAATATTGGACACATGTGGAATGTATCTCTCTATATAATAATTGTGTTTTGGAGTGGCACTTTGCTGAACATTCCACATGCTCCCAAATCAGTAGGCTCCTTTATCTGTCAATCAGAAGGTGTCCCTATCCACTGGCTGCATTGCCTGAGTCCCGCCTCCAACATTCTAAATAGTTTGCTGTTCCTCTCCCCCCTATAGCCAGTCGGAACACAGGTCGTTTGCATATGTGGCCTGATTGGGCTTTGCCTCTAACATTCTAAACAGTTTGCTGTTGCTGTTGGGAGCACTGAATGTGTCCTGAGGTAAATACATATCTCAATCTTCACTTAAACGGTCACTGGAGTTGCCAATCTCCCTGTGGGGCCTGGAGATCTCCCAGAAATCACAGTGTTCCCCAGCCACAGCACATCATTTCCCCTACATAAAATTTCCCAGCTATTACAACTGATCTCCAGATGACCAAGATCAGTTCTCCTGGAGACAATGGCTACTTTTGGCAGTGAACTCTATGGAATTATACCTTGCTGAAGTCTCTCCACACCCCAAACCCTGCCCTCCCCAGGCTCTACCCCTCAAATCTACAGGTATTTCCCAACCCAGAGTTGGCAACTGTGTAATTGGCTATGGAACCACTTTCTAGACCCTTGGAACTCAGAAAACATGGCATAGGAGGAGGTGCTTTTCTATCTTAGCTGCCACTGTATAACCCCCCCCCCCTAAAAAAAAAAAACATAAGTCAGGGATGGAGGGAACCATACCTGTTACCAGCAGGCTGTCCTCCCATACTACCCACTTGGGGCAGCAAAATGACTTGAGAAAGCCCTGCCTTATAGCTAAGCAGAAGGAAAGAAACATGGCTTGCCTCTCTCTATTTTCCCCTTCCCTCTGCCACCCCACCAACCACATCCGGTACACTCATCTGGAGCTTCCTTCTAGAGCTCGTTGTATTTCTTCCCACAACGGGCCTTACTCCTAGTTCCATAATATTGTTGTTTCCTGGGAGCTTAATCCATTTTGCTTGGCACATAAATCACCAGAAAAGTCAATGAGAAGAAGGCTTGTTGCTTTTTGTTCTTGAAAGTACTCTCAAAAGTTTCTCCTGTGATGAAAATCATAATGTTGGTATGGTTTTTACTAGTGTTTGTGATGTGGAAAGCATTTCAGTAAATTGAGGAACTATTTGCAAGATATTCAGGACCCACAGTTCTAAATCAAACCAGTAATTTCTGGCGATAAGTTGTTATTTCGGTTTTCTCTGAATTATTTATTTGGAGTAAAAGCAGAATGAAGCACTTAAGCACTTATTGCATCAGCTCTCCAGCTGACCTTTCCTTTAAATTATCTGTAATTAAATTTGTAAGGATATAATAGCTGTGCTGGATTTGACCAGTGGTTCATCTAGTCCAGCATCCTGTTTCACACAGTGGCCAACTAGATCCCTCCAGAAGGCCTGCAAAGTACAACATGGAAGCCGGTTTCTCCCTGCTGTTTAGCTATTTTCTTCTACTACAAAAACATTAAAAGGAGATGTTTATATGCTCATGATACAGATTTTATATAAGGTTTTCATTTTCCGACATAAACTTAGCGTATTTTTAATATAAAGTTACCTGTCACAGTATGTTTTCAATGTGTTAGTTTGTTCATGATCTTCAGATATACAGATAAATATTTTATCCCACAATTTGAGTAGACACTGTTGTTCAGCAGTTTTATGTGTAGTTTGAGCTCCAGGAACTGATGCAATATAACTTGTTGCTCTTGTTTTTGTCTCTTTAAATAAAATTGCTTGGCATATGTATTCCATAACGCTTGGGGGCCAATAAACTCTAATAATATTTCATTAAAATGAATATACTTCTGATCTGATACAAATATATAATGAGAAGCTATGGCAAATTACTCTTGGTGGGGGTAGAATCTTTCAGAATACAGAAAATGAAAAGTCAAAGGCTTTTCAGAAATGCACTAAGATGTTGTTTCTGTATGTCAAGTCCTGTATAGCTGTCTTATGACTGTTTCGATGTAGTTATGCATCATGCAGAAAACATCCCTCCTTACAAGCTATTTATTTTCTTCTAGCTTCTCCCAGACCAGCTGGTCTTAGTTTTGGAGCATCTCTTGGAGAAGAAGACATTATGTTCAAAAACGTTGGAGTGTTTACAGAAAACTTACCACCTCCGTGAGCAGGATGCCGAGGTAATCCAGTAGCATTCATAGTGAGCTCATAAGCTAGGGAAATAAGGTAATGACTGGAAATAACTGGAAATATCAACATTCTGATAATCAGCAATGAAACCAGTCTAAATCTGTCCTGAAGGCAATACAAGTTATAGTACTGCTTGCATTTACTGCATTTGCTGCTTTCATTTTTATGACTGTGTTTTTAATACAGTGGGGTTTTTTAAAATACATGTGTGTACATGTCTGCTGCACAGTTTTTGTTTGGTTAGTGTAACTATCACATCTGGCCATCATTTCTTTCTACTTGTAAACTTATCCACATCTGGAGAGGTTGAAAGTGACACGTGCCACATTTAGGGTTCATTACTTATGTGCTACTGCCCCTATTTTTTGTCTGCTAAAATGCCTGTTTCTTGTCTTTAGGCATGGTTTAGGGGTTTTTTACAGTTCCCAAATATTAGATTGAATATTTATGAGAAAGAAGTACTTTCTGATTTAATGATATAGATTCAGTAATGGTAATTAGCTACCACTCTGAACAATTATAATAGACATCATGCAAATAGAGACTGTGATTAATGGCAGACTAAACTTAACCATGTGGGATTTACTATATAGATAAAACAGAAGGAAGAGTTGACTGATAGTGTAAAATAAACAGTAAGGTATTGCAAACAAGGCTGAAGATCAGAGACTTATCCAACTCCTGGCTAACAGTACAATATAACTAGAGTAGGACAATAGAAATACCTGCCCCAAGGGTAACCTGGATACAGGTGCAGTATCAAATATCCTGTAAAATAAGTGGGGACCTGCAATACTCATGGAAGGGAATCCCTTCCCCCTCTTACCTTTAATCCCACTCCCACTGTCACTGCCAGCATACTGTTGCAGCTCCATCTTGAAATTAAATTACAATTAAAATTAAGCTAAAAGGAGGAAGGGATCCTCCCATAAGTATCATGGCTCTTGGCCCTTTCCTACAGTTGCAGCTGCCATTGGCGAGCCCTCTGTGGCTCCCAGCCTCCGCCGCTGAGCTTTTGCCCCCTCAACCCCTGACATTAATGCTGGCAAACCCAGCCCTCCCACCCCTCCACACATTGCTGACACTCCACCATCACTGACTCCGCCCCCAGGCCCCCACATTCTTGCCCTCCAATGCTCTTGCATTGACAATGATGCTTGTAAGGCCAACAAATCTCTTGAAACCCACCAACTCTCACAACTGGTGCCAGTGAGCCTGGCATGGCTCCCACCCCCCTCGACATCAATGGCAGTGAGCACAGTGCAGCTCCTAGCCTCTGCCACAGCTGCTGCCAGTGAGGCCAGCATAGCTCCCAGCCTCCCTTGCCTGGCCTACCATGGCTGCCACCTCCCAAGTCACCATAGAGTCTAAGTCATGTGCAGTCCATTATTTTGTTGGGGGGAGACTTAAAACCCCAATGTAATTTTGTAACAATGTCAGAATTTTCTTCAAACCTTGGGGGTTCTCTAAGCATGGAGAAAAATCTCCTTTAAGAACATAAGAACACAAGAGAAGCCAATGTTGGATCAGGCCAATGGCCCATCCAGTCCAACACTCTGTCACACAGTGGCTAAAAATACCCGGTGCCATCAGGAGGTCCAGCAGTGGGGCCAGGATACTAGAAGCCCTCCCACTGTTGCCCCCCCAAGCACTAAGAATACAGCGCATCACTTGCCACAGACTGAGAGTTCCTATCTATACCTTGTGGCTAATAGTCATTGATACACCTCTGCTCCATATGTTTATCCAATTTCCTCTTGAAGCTGTCCATGCTTGTAGCTGCCACCACCTCCTGTGGCAGTGAATTCCATGTGTTAATCACTCTTTGGGTGAAGACGTACCTCAATTTCATTGAGTGCCCACGAATTCTCGTATTTGATGATGTTGGTGGTAGATAAGAAAATCTGAGTGAAAAAGAACATATGAAGCTGACATATACCAAGTCAAACCATTGGCTCATCTAGCTCAGTAATGTCTCCTCTAACTGGCAGTGGCTCATAAGAACATAAGAACATAAGAGACGCCAATGTTGGATCAGGCCAAAGGCCCATCCAGTCCAACACTCTGTGTCACACAGTGGCCAGAAATACCAGTGCCATCAGGAGGTCCAGCAGTGGGGCCAGGACATTAGAAGCCCTCCCACTGTTGACCCCCCCAAGCACCAAGAAGACAGAGCATCACTTGCCCCAGAGCCCCTAGCTATACCTTGTGGCTAATAGCCACTGATGGACCTCTGCTCCATATGCTTATCTAATTCCCTTTTGAAGCCATCCATGCTTGTAGCACCCACCACTTCCTGTGGCAGTGAATTCCAAGTGTTAATCACTCTTTGGGTGAAGAAGGACGTCCTACCATTGATTTATATAGGGGCATTATTATATTGGCTGATCTGTTTTCAATACCCTTCCTAATAATCCCCAGCATAGCATTGGCCTTCTTTATTGCAGTCACACACTGTCTCGACATTTTCAGTGAGTTATCCACTACAACTCCAAGATCTCTCTCTTGCTCAGTCTCTGCCAGTTCAGACCCCATCAATGTGTATTTATATTTAGGATTTTTGGCTCCAATGTGCATCACCTTGCACTTGGCCACATTGAACCCCATTTGCCATGTTGACGCCCACTCGCCCATCCTTGACAGATCCCCTTGGAGTGCCTCACAATCCTCACTGGTTTTCACCACCCTGAACAACTTTGTATCATCCGCAAATTTAGCCACTTCACTGCTTACTCCCATCTCCAAATCATTAATGAACAAGTTAAAAAGCAGTGGACCAAGTACTGATCCCTGCGGTACCCCACTGCTTACCACCCTCCACTGAGAAAATTGCCCACCTACACTCACTCTCTGTTTTCTATGAACTAGCCAGTTTTTGATCCATAAAAGGACTTGTCCTTCTATCCCATGATTTTTGAGCTTACTTAGGAGCCTTTGATGAGGAACTTTATCAAAAGCTTTCTGGAAGTCAAGGTAAATAATATCTATTGGATCCCCCTTGTCCACATGTTTGTTCACCCCCTCAAAGAACACTAACAGGTTAGTGAGACAAGATCTTCCCTTACAGAAACCGTGCTGAGTCTGCCTCAATAGGTTTTGTTCATCTATGTGCCTACTAATTCTTTCCTTAATAATGGTTTCCACCAATTTACCCGGTATCGACGTCAGACTGACTGGCCTGTAATTTCCCGGATCTCCTCTGGAACCCTTTTTAAAGATGGGAGTGACATTAGCTACCTTCCAATCCTCAGGAATGGAGGCAGATTTTAAGGAAAGATTACATATCTTTGTCAGGAGATCTACAAGTTCACATTTGAGTTCTTTCAGAACTCTCGGATGTATGCCATCTGGGCCTGGTGATTTTTCAGTTTTTAAGTTGTCTATCAGTTTTAGGACCTCCTCTCTCGTCACCTCAATCTGACTCAGGTCTTTCAACACCCCTCCTGAAATCAGTGGTTCTGGAGTGGGCAAGCACTTCTCATCTTCCACAGTGAAGACGGAGGCAAAAAATGCATTTAGCTTCTCAGCCATTTCCCTATCATCCTTCAATACTCCTTTTACCCCTTGGTCGTCCAAGGGCCCCACTGCCTCCCTGGCTGGTTTCCTGTTTCTAATGTATTTGAAGAAAGTTTTATTGTTGGTTTTTACGTTTTTTGCTATATGCTCCTCATATTCCCTTTTTGCCTGCCTGACCTCAGACTTGCATTTTATTTGCCATAGCCTGTGTTCCGTTTTATCAGCCTCACTGTGACTAGCTTTCCACTGCTTAAAGGAATTCTTTTTACTTTTTACAGCCTCCATTACTCTGTTTGTTAACCATGCAGGCTTTTTCCTATACCTGTTTGTGCCTTTCCTAACCTGCGGAATATATATTTTTTGAGCTTCTAGGATCGTAGTTTTAAATAGATCCCAAGCTTCCCCAATTGTTTTGACCCTTTCTACTTTTCCTTTCAGTTTCCTCCCCACGTGTCCCCTCATATCAGAGAAATTACCCCTTTTAAAGTTAAAAATGGTTGTGTGAGTCTTTTTGGCCAATTCTCTATTTGTACAAATGATGAACTCAACAACATTATGATCACTGTTTCCAAGCGGTGCAATCACTTTTACATCTCTCACCAGGTCTTGAGTGTTACTTAGGACCAAATCAAGGATCGCCTCTCCCCTGGTAGGTTCCGTGACCATCTGCTCCATAGCACAGTCATTTAGAGTGTCTAGAAACTCAATCTCTTTTTCCCGGCTAGAACACATATTGACCCAATCAATGTGTGGGTAGTTAAAATCACCTATTATTACACAGTGTTTTTGTCTAGTTGCTATCTTTAAGGCATTCATCATTTTATAATCCTCCTCTATCTTTTGATCTGGTGGGCGATAACAAACTCCCAGTGTTAAGTTTCCTTTTGGCCCCCCTATTTCAACCCATAGAACTTCCAGAAGCGAATCCAATTCACTTAGCCTCTCAATCTTTCTAGACTTTATACCCTCTCTGACATACAGAGCTACCCCACCTCCAACCCTTCCCCCCCTATCCTTCCGATATAATATATAACCGGGAATCACTGTGTCCCACTGATTTTCCTCATCCCACCAAGTTTCAGAAATACCCACAATGTCTATTTTTCCCTCCGACACCAAGCACTCCAACTCCCCGATTTTACCTCGGACACTTCTAGCATTTGTATAGAAACAGCTGTAATTTCCCTTACAAGTTAAGCCTGCATCCTTCCTCTTGCTATCTCGAGTCGTTGTCCGGCAGTCCATGTCACCAGCCATGGCCTCTGTGGACAATTTCAATCCACCTCCCTGTAGAAAAGCAACAGGTACCCCCTCATCTCTCTGAGATGAGCCAACCCGAACCAGAGACTTTTCATCTCCTGTCGGCTTTCCCCCAATATTCAGTTTAAAAGCTGCTCTGCCACCTTTTTGATTTTAAGTGCCAGCAGCCTGGTTCCTTCTCGGGACAAGTGGAGACCGTCTCGCCTGTACAGCT